AGAGCAGGTGCCATTTTCGACATACGTGACAGCTGTGCTAACTCGTCTGCACCCGGCAATCAGCTGAGCAGAGACTCCTGACTCTGGTGGGGAGAAATAACAGAGGGCTATGAGCTTGAGATTGTAGAAGCTTCCAAATTGGGACTGTGAAAACAATTGGGGGTGTGTGGAAGAACTCACAGTGTGGCTGGGATTTTGAGCAGTATCAGTGGGAGATGCCACAAGCTTGGGGGTTCCTGGTACGTGGTGAGAGACATTGCTGGGGAATCAGCTTACACTGAGGACAGAAAAGATCCATTGTGTGGTCCTTGGGACAGAGCAGATGAATATTATACCTACTGGGGCTAGCATTCATGCACTGGTCTCCATTGAGGAGAAGAGCTCAGCTAAGCAGATTATACTTCCCATCTAATAAAAAAGAGAGAAGATTTACCACACCAAACCTGGGTTTGTCACTGTAGGCATACCCTTAACCCTGGAGAACTGAACAGCGCTCTCTGGCCACACCCACTACAAGCATATAGAGATTCACTGAAGGCAGACACTCCACTGATCTACAGAGTCATAGTACAATGCTAAAAGCTGCCACAGCAAAAATAAATAAATAAATAAACAAACAAACAAAAAAAGAAGAAACCAACATCATCTCTCTAAATACTAGATTATGAATATGGTAAGATAGAAGAAATGCAAGAAATGGAACTCAAAAAATGATCATAGCATTACATAAAAGTAACCAAAAACAAACACACAAACTACTGAAATCCATGCAGGACATGAAAGAAAATCTGTCTCATGAAATTGAGATCTTAAAGAAGAATCAAAATGAAATGAAGAATTCAACAGAATGTGAAATTGAGATCTTTTAGAGAAATCAAAATGAAATGAAGAATTCAACAGAACAAGTAAAAACTTCAGTGGAGAGCCTTAAAAACAGAATCAGTGAGGCAGAGGAGAGAATATTGGACACATAAAACCTACCTAAATTGAGCCAAGAAGACACAGAAAACCTAATAAGACCCATAAACAAGACAGAAATTGAATCATTAATAAAGACAGTCATAACAAAGAAAAGCTCAGGAACATTCACTCTTGAATTATAACAGACATGTTAAGAAGAATTAACTCCAGTACTTCTCCAGCTTTTCAAAAACAATTGAAAGAGAGGAAATCCTCCCAAGTTCTTCCTACAAAGCCAGCATCACCTTAATTCCTAAGCCTGAGAAAGATGCAACAGTGAAAGAGAATTATAGACCAATTTCCCTAATGAACATAGATGCAAATATCCTCAACCAAATTACAGCTAATAGATTCTGAAACACATCAGAAAGATCATCTAAGCATGAAAACTCTAACAAATTGGTTATAGAAGAAACGTTCATCAACACAATCAAGGCAATTTATGAAAAACCCATGGACAGCGTCATACTGAGTGGAGAAACGTTGGAAACATTCGCACTAAGATCTGGTACTAGACAGGGAGGCCCACTCTCAACATTGCTATTCAATATAGTACTGGAAGTTTTAGCCAGGGCCATTAGGCCAGAAAAAGAAATCAAAGTGATACAAATTGGAAAGGAAGAAGTCAAACTATCCCTATTTGCAGATGACATGGTTCTATATATAGGGGATCCAAAAGACTCTACCAAGAAGAATTTGGTAAAGTAGCAGGATATAAAGTCAATACAAAAAAATCATTAGCCTCTGTAGACACAGACAACGCCACAGCTAAGAACTTCTGAAATAAATCCCATTCACAATAGCTACATAAAAATCAAATACCTTGAAATAAACTTAACCAAGGATATCAAAGATCTCTACAATGAAAATTACGAAACTTTAAAGCAAGAAATTGAGAAGATACAAAGAATAGAAAATCTTCCATGTTCATGGAATGGAAGAATCAATATTGTCAAAATGTACATATTTCAAAATGCAATTTACAGAATCAAAGAGGTACAAATTAAAATACCAAAGACATTCTTTACATATCTGGAAAAAATGATGCTGAAATTAATATTAGGCACAGGAGACATCAAATAGCTAAAGGAATCTTATATAACAAAAAGAAAGCTGGAGGCCTCACAATACCAGATTTCAAGACATACTACAGGGCAGTTGTACTCAAAACAGTCTGGTACTGGTACAAAAATAGATTGCTAAACCAATGGAACAGAACAGAAACACCAGAAATCAATCCAAACATCTACAACCAACTTATATTTGATCAAGGAACTAAAACCAATTCTTGGATCAAGGACAGTTTAATCAACAAATGGTGCTGGGCAAACTGGATTTAAACATGCAGAGGTATGAAGCAAGACCCCTACCTTACACCTTACACAAAAAATCCACTCAACAAAGATCTAAATCTATGACCTGACACCATCAAATTATTAGAGAACATCTGAGAAACCCTGCAAGATATTGGCACAAGCAAAGACTGCTTGGAAAAGACTCCAGAAAAAGGCACACTAATCCACTGTTTGTAGGAATGCAAACTGGTAAAACTGTTATGGAGACACTTTGGAGATAACTCAGAAATCTGAATATAGCCCTACCATACGACCCAGCCATCCCACTCCTCAGAATTTATCCAAGGGAATCTAAATTGGCAAATCAAAGAGCTATCTGCACCTCAATGTTTATTGAAGCTCAATCAGAATACCTAAGACATGCAATCACCCTAAATGCCCATCAATGGAAGACTGGATAAAGAAATTATGGTATATGTACTTTATGGAATACTACACAGTGGTAAATAAAAATGAAATCCAGTCATTTGCAACAAAATGGAGGAATCTGAAAAACATTATGCTGAGTGAAATAAGGCAGTCACAAAGGGACAAATATCATATGTTCTCCCTGATCTGAGACAACTAACTGAGCACCTAAAAATAAACCTGAGAAGAATAACTCGATCAGCCCTTGTCCTGACTGTTGAGGAGCAGCTTACAATTTTATTCTTTTTAGTATTTTCTTTTTCTACTTAATACCATTGGTTGAACTGTTTACTTAGCAGAGTTATTCTCAGGTCTTTAAATCCAGTTGAAAATCCATCCCTTTTAAAAATAAGAGTGGGAATAAGAGAGGGAGATGTACGGTTTGGCACACGTTCCCTATGACTTACCCATATGGGTAAGTATGTCTGTGTGGGTGCAAATTGTTAAAATCTTTACTTAGTATAGGGTTGATCCTCTGTATATAATGATAATTAAAAATGAATCTTAATGAAGAATGGAATAAGAGACCAAGTAGCAGGTGGGATGGTTTGGGGGTGGGAGGACAGGTATGGAGGGAAGAACTGCTATAATCCAAAAGTTATACTTACAAAATCTGTATTTATTAAATAAAAGCTTTCTATAAAAATCATTGAGGCTCAAAATGTCGATTTCACCTCGATTTATTACATTTTAGATGCTCTATTACTTACCACATATCAGGGAAAAATATTGTATTTATCTGATTTGGACTGGCTTATTTTACTAAGTGTACTGGTTTCCAGTTGCATCCATTTTGTTGTTTTACAGAGAATATAGCCTTGTCAACATGTTAGAAAATAATTTGTAAATGGTTAGGAGTAAAAATCTGACTAGAGATTAAAATCTACTATATGTTGGACATCAAATTCCCAAAACCAAATATTACATAAAATAGGGACTCTTACTTAAAACAAGCAAATTGAATCACAATATGAAAACTACCAACCAACCAATTAAAACCTTACAGAAGCAAAACATTTGTAAAGAAATACAAAATATTCCAGGCCCAGTGCTCTGGCATAGGGGATAAAGCTATTGCCTGTGGTGCCAGCTTCCCATATGAGTGCTGATTTGAGTCCTGGCTGCCCTACTCCTGATCCAGCTCTCTGCTGATGGCCTGGGAAAGTAGGAAAGATGGTCCAAGTGCTAGGGTCCCTGCACCAGCATGGGGGAGCTGGAGAAAGCTCCTGGCTCCAGGCTTCAGATCAGCTCTCTCTCTCTCTCTCTTTCTCTCTGCCTCTGCTTCTCTGTAACTCTGCCTTTCAAAAAAAATCTTTTGCAATAAAAGAAATACAAAATATTCCAAACACATCTATGTTTCCCAGATGTACCAAGGTAGAAATAAGCAGAGAATATTTTCAAATATTTGGAAACCCAGCATTACACTAATGATGATGCAAGTTGACCAGAACTTCAAATATGCATGAAGCATAAGCCTCTCATTCATAAACAGATGCATATATCCTTAGTATTCTTATAATAAATTAAATCAGATATGAAAATACAATAACAAGTGAGTTATAAGAAAAAAGGCAAGAGGCGGTTAACATTTTAAACAATCCATTTAAATTTTCCAAGTAAGTGAAAAATTCAAGAAGAAAAATCCCATGACCATTTAGATTGAATGTTGAAAAGCATTTAAAAAATCAGCATGAAATTTAAAAAATAAAAAACTGTTAGCAACATAGTAAGAATGTGGCTTCCTTACTCTGTTCAAGATTGTTTAAAAAGGATCCTATAACAAACAACACAATACATATAGGATCAGTGACAGCTTTTACCCTGGAAGTAAGCCTAGACCAGGCTGCCTCCACTATCTCCAACTTCTTATTGGAGGAATAGTGGGGGGAGGGGAGAGCCAAAAGAAAAAATAAGCTATAAAGATTTTAGAAATCTTTAAAATGTCAATATGTTGGTGATATTTAGAGCGAATCCATAAAATCTAAAACAGATACAACCAATAAATGAATTTAACAAGACTGCTGGAAAGATCAATATTTTTAAAATCCACTAGATTACCATACACCAGCAAGAAACAAATAGAAAATATTAAAGGTGAGTATGCAGAGAAGAAACCAAATACTGACAGGAGAAACGGGAAATAATGATTAAATCATGGGATGTCTTTCAGTTTCTTCCAATCAATATTAAACAGTAACACAAACGACCCAACAGGAAAATGAGTCACAATACGAAGAAAATGAAGCCCAGAGGCCGACGCACAGAACTGTGACTCACTGAAGCAGTTACTGCACCGAGAGCTCCAGCAGGGACCCATCAGGGAGGGCAGGGCCACAGGAGGGACCCGGCGGGTGCAGGAGCAGAGGGGAGAGGCCTCCCGCCTGGGGAGGTGGAGTCCGACCTGCAGCCAGGCCTCGCCTCCTGCTCTCCCACCCAGCACAACCTGAAGTCAGGGGCCCATTGCCGTGGAGGATGTTGATGGGCTGCGTCCTTTGTGACGTTGTGTGCACTCATGGCCATGCACGCTGTCCAATCAGGCACGACGACGTCCACGTCACGTCATCACGCGGGGTCCTGACGTCACAGTCATCTTACAGTTCTGGGCAGGAGCGAGGTGCTAGGAGACGGCTCTGCAGGCGCGAGGCTCCCAAAGCAAGTCGGGCTCCGTGGCCTCCACCTTCATCACCGGGGGACGCTGGACACCTGGAGCTGAAAACCGCGACGTGGTGAGTGTGTGCGCCCAGGTGTCGGGAGAGGCGTAAAGCAGCCGTGGAAGCTGCTGAGAAGCTGGCAGGACGTGGGCCTCCCAGAGGTCGTCTCCGAATCTGTGGCACCATATTGCCGCTGGCCCAGCGCTTCCCTTGGTCCCCTCAGACCCGGGGGTCGGGGTCTGGACTGGCACCCGGGACCCCTGACGCCCTGCCCCTTCCCTGCTCTCAGCGACTTCTCATCCCCAGAGCCTTCCCCAGGCAGCTGTGTGGCAGCAGCCCCGCGTCTCCCCGACTGTGCAGTGGGCACGGGGTGGTCATTAGGGAGAATGTGGGCTCCGTGTGTGGGGTGTGTGTGGGACAGGAGCTGTAGTTTGTGCTGCCCTGGGCTCCTCCATCCTTCCCTGCCGGGACCTGATTCCCCCCAGTTTTCTAAATATGTGGGCAGCAGGGTCTCTTCCAGGATGCTGGTCTCTCAGCACAGCTGTTTCTAGGGGTCTCTCCATTTTCTGTTTCCAATAACATAGTCACCTGGGGTGGGTAAGGCAAAAACAAAAGTTCTGTTTGACAGGTTTTAGAGGGGCACATGTACCCTGGAATTTGACACTTGGGTTTCATGTTAATTACACTTACACTTTCCCTTGATGGACTGCCATCTGCATTTGCACTTTCAGAATAGAAATTTTGTCTGCTCAAATTTATGTGTATTTTTAAAAATTATTCTGTTCCATGAAAACCGTCCCAATCCTGAAGATAGTCTACTGAGTTATTTTGAATTTATATTTTTATATGAGTTTCTGGTTATTTTTGTTTGTTTTAATTTTTTCAAGATTTTTGGATATGAGTGACAAATTTTGTGTATATTCAAGACATGCAACATGATGTTTTCAATGTGAGGAAACAAAATTTATGGAAAATTCACATTTTTTTGAAACATCAACAATCCTTTATTAGCAAGCCTGTGCAGGTTAACTTGCTGACCTGGCTCAAAACAGCATTGCTAACAAGATCAGGGATGGAGGTGCACAATCAGAATGCAACTTTTGGATTACAGTGGCTTTCCCCACCACCCCATAACCTTCCTCCCACTGCAACCATCCCATCTCCCACTCCCTTTCCCATCCCATTGACATCAAGATTTATTTTCAGTTATCTTTATATACAGATCAATTTAGTATATACTAAGTAAAGATTTCAACAGTTTGCACTCACACAGAAACACAAAGTATAAAGTACTGTTTGAGTACTAGTGGTTTTTTTGTTTAAAGATTTATTTTATTTATTTAAAAGAATTACACAGACAGAGAGAGACAGAGAAAGAAATGTCTTCCATCCACTGGTTCACTCCCCAGATGGCTGCAATGCCCAGAGGTGAGCCAACCCAAAGCCAGGAGCCAGTAGCTTCTAGCTTCTTCTGATTCTCCCATGTGGGTACAAGGGCTCAAGGACTTGGGCCATCTTCCAATGCTTTCCCCAGGCACATTAACAAGGAGATAGATTGGAAGTAGAACAGCTGGGACTTGAACTGGTTCCAGTATGGGATGCCAGCACTGCAGGCCGGGGCCTTAACCTGTTGTGCCACATCGTCTGTGCCAAGTATGTGTGTACTTAATATCCTTGTTTAACTAAATCCTTGTATTGTAACATTCTTGTTTGATTTTCTTTCACAATGATGTTATCAGATCACTCAAAATTCTGTACATTAATGTACAGTCTCTCTGAACTCTGTTAGGGTAAGTTCAATCTGAGACACTTTAAAGTCATACATTTTTTAACTTTCTTAATTTTTATAACTCTAAAGTTATTGTTCACTGAATTTTCCCAAAATGTAGCTCTAGATATACTTTCTTAGAATTTCTCTAATAGGTGGAATGAGTTTTATATTCATTGATTTTTACTTCTCACTTTATATAATTACAATTAAGCATTTTTCACCAAATTCCTTTATTTTTGCATTTTATAGAATTTAGCAAATGTAAACTAACCTTTGATTTTAGAAATTTTCTGTAGTCTATATATCTTTAGATATTTGGATAATTCCTTTAAGATTATTATCTAAAGTGGCTTGATTAAAGATATTAGGATTATTTTAGTTTTCTTTTCAAATATAATAGAATATTTTTTGACAGGCAGAGTTAGAGAGAGAGAGAGACAGATACAGAGAGAAAGGTCTTCCTTCTGTTGGTTCACCCCGCAATGGCCACTATGGCCTGTGCGCTGCGCTGATCTGAAGCCAGGAGCCAGGTGCTTCCTCCTGGTCTCCCATGTGGGTGCAGAGCCCAAGGACTTGGGCCATCCTCCACTGCCTTTCTGGGCCACAGCAGAGAGCTGGCCTGGAAGAGGAGCAACCAGCACCCCAACTGGGACTAGAACCCGGGGTGCCGGTGCTGCAGGCAGAGTGAGCCACGGCGCCAGCCAAATATAATGGAATATTTTACACCAAGTTCTCAATATGCATGTCAATCTCAATCAAATAAAATATTTGTAGCATGAACATCCTTTTTGTTTTGTATTTTGAAAGATATATTGTCCATATGAAAAATACTACATGAACACTATTTTCATTCAATACTTGAAGGAGGTTTCTGAGAGTCATGTAATTTGTACGCATGCCAACAATGTATGCTGTTAACCTTCTATTTGACCTTCTTTTTAAAAACACCCATTGTTTTCTTTACAGGGCTTTTAAGATTTATCTTTATTTCTGGGTTTATGCAGTTTAATTATGATCTGCCTCAGCATGGTGATTTTTTTTTTCATCCTATGATTGGAGTGCAATGACCTGCTTCATTCTTTAAATTCATAGTTTTGACAAAAGTTTATAATAATTCCTGATGAATCTTTTTATTTCTATAGTATCTGTTGTTACATATCCTTTCTCTTCTCTGATTTTAATGATTTTGGTCTCCTTCTTTTTTTGGCTAGTTGTTCCAATGGTGGATCTATTTTGTTTATTTTTTCAAAAAACCAGCTCTGCATTTCAATGACTTTTGTATTGTTTGTCTGGTTTTATTTTTGTTTATTTTTTCTCTAATTTTTTGACAGGCAGAGTTAGACAGAGAGAGAGACAGAGACAGAGAGAAAGGTCTTCCTTCCACTGGTTCACCCCCAAATGGCCACTACAGCGAGCGTGCTGTGCCGATCCAAAGCCAGGAGCCAGATGCTTCCTCCTGGTCTCCCATTGGGTGCAGGGTCCAAGCACTTGGGCCAACCTCCACTGCCTTCCCAGGCCACAGCAGAGAGCTGGACTGTAAGAGGAGCAACCAGAACAGTACTGGCACCCCAACCAGGAATAGAACCCGAGGTATTGGCGCCGCAGGAGGAGGATAGCCAAGTGAGCCATGGCGTTGGCCTTCTTCTCTAGTTTTAATCATATATTTTCTCTTATTAATTTTGGGCTTGATTTTTTGTTGTTTTTCTAGGTCATTGAGATGCACTGATAGCTCATTTGTTTGATACCTTTCCAATTTCTTCATGTAGGCAATAATTCACCCTTAACACTGCTTTTGCTGTATCCCATAAATTTTGATATGCTGTATTGATTTCTTTTATGACCCACTGTTAATTCAAAAGAATATTGTTCAGTCTCAGCATGTTTCCATATGATCTAAAGATTTCTGAGTTGTTGATTTCCAGCTTTATTCCAGTTCCCATCTGAGATGATGCATGATATTATTTAAAAGTTTTTGAATTTTCTGAGACCTACTTTATGACATAGCATATGGTGTATGCTTTAGAGTACCAGATATATCAAACTAAGATGGCATCTGGAATTAAATTTATTTATTGTCTGGGAACAGTCTCTAGCCTTCATTATTGTACAATTATTGGGTTATAATTGCTGAAATTTTATTTTTACTAATGAGAAGAGTGAGAGGGATAAGGCACATTGTTAGAATTTTAGTACTGTTGATAACTGAAAGTATTGGCTATTTATGTTTATAACTCAACAATTGAAAAGGAAAATTATGTGAACACACTTCATAAAAGACCACATACCAATAAAAGTGCATGAGGAGCCAGCATTGTGGCAGAGCAGGTAAATCCTCTGCCCATGATGACAGCATCCCATATGAGCACTGATTCTTGTCCTGGCTGCTGCACTCCCAATCCAGCTCCTTGCTAATGGCATGGGAAAACAGCTAAATACAGTCTGGTTCAAAGAGAAAGCATAGAACTTTGATATCCCTTTTTTGGTTGCATTTTACATATTATCTAATGCTGAGCACAATATGATAAAAAGACTTTCTTGAGGAAAAAACAGGCAAGTCACAGGGCAGCATAAAATACATGGTCACAATAGAATTAATCATGTTTTTAATAATTTAAAGAGAACAGATTTCATTTTTATTATTCTGTAATGTAATTTTATGTTTTATATTCATCTATGGCATCTCTATATGATTGTGTCTGTGTTTCTACTGAATTACTAATTTGTACACCATATAATCCATATTAACTGTCTTATTAGAGTGCAAATCTCTAATTTGTCTTAGAATTTACCACTGACACCTGAATGTGTAATATAATAACCTGATTTATAAGAATACCAACACAGGGAAACAGTGGGTTTCATGGTTTATTTTATGATGCTGTGAAAATAAACTCAATTTTAATGCTGAAAGTTGTCCTAGAAACTGTCATGAGTAAAGGATTTCAGCTCATTATAGGGTTATACCATCATGGTCATCAGCATGGGATACTACATCTTTCTGGATGTTACTGGAGCTGTAAATTATTTTCTGCTTTTGGAAATTTTCCAGAATACATGTACCTGGCATACTACAATTTTTCATTTATTTTGGACCCTTTTATAAAAACACCCATCCCCATATCTGTCCTTTAATATGGCTCACACAAAAATACTCATTGTTACTTAAGGCAAAGCTACCTTTTCCCTTGCCCTGTGCATTGGATTTATTTTTTTTTTATTTTGACTTTCATTTGGTTATTTTAACCTGTGTATATCACTATCCACTTGAAATCTAATCTTAGCACTGCCAATATATGGTCATTTT